TAAAGGAATTGGTTACTTCAGAAATAACTTCAATCAAGCAAGAGATAGAAGGAGTCAAAAAAGAAATACAGGATAATGCAACCAAAACTACAGAAACGGAAGAGAAGATGCAACAAATGGAGGAGAAACAGGATTCTTTGACTCAACAACTTAGAAGATCTGAAACAATGATGGAGTTCAGAAGGATGCAAACTCATCTGAGATTTAGAGGTATCAAAGAGAAAGAAAATGAAAATATAAGAGAGGAGATGATGAAGGCGATAACTCTATTCTTGGGCGAAGATGAAGGATCAATGGAATCAGACTTTGATTTAATTTATAGAGTGAACTCCAGAATTGCGGAAAAGAAAAATTTACCACGAGATGTAATTGTACAATTTGTGACAAGAACAACAACAGAAGACATCTTTAAGAAACAATTCACCGTCCCGTTTGAAATGGAAGGAAACAAAATTATGGTCATGAGAGAGCTCCCAAGAGCAATACTTCAGGACAGAAAAAGGTATAAACCTTTGGCTGACAAACTGAAGGCGTTGAACATCAGATATAGATGGGAAATTCCGCAAGGTTTATCCTTCACATACAAAGGAGGGAGGATTCTGATCAGATCGGTGACGGATTTTTACAAATTCAAAGCGGACAATTTAGATGACTTTGGAGAACTTTAAATTAAAACGCATAATGGATTACAAATTGTTGTCATGGAATGTGAATGGATTAAATTCACCAAACAAGAGGAAAAGAATCAATTATTGGATACAAAAACAAAATTGTAATGTGATATGCTTGCAAGAAACTCATATCAGAAAACAAGATGTTAAATATTTAAAAAATGTTAAATTAGGATTGGAATTTTGTTCTTCGGCCCTAAACAAGAAGAAAGGAGTGGTGACATATGTGAAAAATCACTTGCAACCTAAAGAAATTTTTAACGACTTGGAAGGGAGATATGTGGGTGTGGAAGTTATGATCCAACAAAAAAAGACACTGGTGATCAATTTATATGCACCCAATGGAGCAAAGGAGAAATTTTTTAAGGACTTAAATGAGCACCTACAAAAACAAACTTATGACCAAGTCATTATGGCTGGAGACTTTAATGGAACTATAGACCGCTTGGACAGAAAACCACAAAAAGGCAACGAAAATAGTGGAAAATTGCCAAGGAACTTTTTTGAAATAGTCAAACAGGAAAAATTAGAAGATGTTTGGCGGAAATGGAACCCGACACAGAAAGACTTTACATTTTATTCCAATAGACATTGTTCTTTTTCCAGAATTGATATGATTTGGATGTCAGAAGAATTGTCAATGAAAACACATAAAATTGAAATTTTGCCCAGATGTAATTCAGACCACAACCCTGTTGTGTGGAGCTCTATAGAAAGGAACAAATCCTTCCTTTGGAGAATAAATGAAGATTTGTTGGATAAAAAAGCTGTAGTAGAATTGCTAAAGGAAGAAACAAAACAATTTTTTAAAGAAAATTTAAACAAAGAGACCCCGATACAGGTTGTGTGGGATGCCTACAAAGCCGTGATGAGAGGAATCCTCATCTCGCAAAATGTGAAGCAAAAAAAGGAAAAATTTCAAAAACAAGCAGAAGTGTTGGAAAAAATAGCCCAAAAAGAAAAAGAATTAAAAAAGAAACCTGGGAAAAAGAAAATCATCAAAGAATTGCAGTTGCTAAGAGAGCAACTGAATGAAACTTTGAACCATGAACTCTATTGGAATTTAAAGAAGTTACAGCAAAAATCTTTCGAAGGGGCAAATAGACCGGGAAAATATTTAGCTTGGCAACTTAAAACTAGAAAAGAAAGAAGAATGATAACCAAAATTATAGAAGATGGAAAGGAATTCGTTGACCCTAATGGTATAAAGAGAAGTTTCTTCAAGTATTATGCCAAATTATTCCAAGCAACTAGAACTGATCTTGAGAAGATTAGAACATATCTGGAAGAAAGTCCACTATCTAAAATAAGCAGTGAATTTAAGGATTTATTAAATGGTCGAATTCAAAAAGAAGAAGTGACGAAGGCGATTGAAGAATCGAAGTTGGGAAAGGCGCCAGGGCCGGACGGATTTACAGCAAAGTTTTATAAAAAAATGAAAGAGGAAATTCTTCCGGCCATGGAAGCTTTATCCAACGAAATAAGAGAGAACAAAAAGGTGCCAGATTCATGGAAAGAGGCAATTATTTCACTGATACCAAAGGAAGGACAAGATCTAACAAATGTGAAGAACTACAGGCCAATCTCTCTTCTAAACAATGACTACAAAATCTTTGCAAAAATTATTGCAGAAAGGGTGAAAAACTATTTACAAACAGTGATTTCGGAAGACCAAGCTGGTTTTTTACCAAAAAGACAGATTCGTGATAATGTAAGAATAGTAATGGATGCAATTGAATATTATGAGAAGCACCCAGAAAAAGAAGTAGCTTTATTATTTGTTGATGCAGAAAAGGCATTTGACAATCTTAACTGGAATTTTATGCTACAAATGATGGAAAAAATAGAAACGGGACAACAATTTAGAAACTGTATTGAAGCTATCTATTTTGAACAAACTGCAAAATTGAATGTGAATAAGGAAGTGACAGATAACTTCAAGGTACAAAAAGGTACAAGACAGGGTTGTCCTTTGTCACCGCTATTATTCATATGGGTACTGGAAGTATTGTTACAAAAAATACAGCAAGACCAAGAGATAAAGGGATTGACACATAAAGGATTTAAATACAAGTATCGAGCATTTGCAGACGATGTTATGTTTATTGTGGAAAACCCGATTGAAGAGTTACCATTACTATTCCAAAAGATAAAAGATTTTGGAGAATTGGCTGGATTCTATGTGAACAAAAATAAAACGAAGCTTATTTGTAAGAACATGACGAAACAAAAACAAGTGGAACTACAAGACCTGGTACAATGTGAAGTAGTAAAAAAACCGAAATATTTAGGCATTGAGTTAACGGCGAGAAATATAGACTTATACAAGAATAACTATGAAAAATTATGGACCAAGTTAACTCAAGACTTTAAGAAATGGGATAAAATGAACTTATCATTGATGGGAAGAATATCAGTTATCAAAATGAATGTCTTACCACGTTTGATGTTCCTGTTCCAAACAATACCAATACTTCACAAGACGGATATGCTACTTAAATGGCAACAAGAACTATCAAAGTTTGTTTGGGCAGGCTTTGGGAGAGTGGAGGGGGAAAAATATCTCTAAAATGTATAAAGTGTTGTTAAAATGGTTTACTGAAGATGAAACTGTGAAAGAGCAAATGATAAAATGGGCAATAAATATGAATAAGGAAGTGTCTATTGAAACTTGGGAATATTTGTGGAAAAATTCTATTAAGATATCGCCTTGTACCAATGTCAAAGAGAATTGTTATAAAATGATGTATAGGTGGTACATGACTCCGAAGAAAATTGCAAATATGAACCAGACTATGTCAAATAAATGTTGGAAATGTAAGACCCATGAGGGCTCATTTTACCATATGTGGTGGACTTGTGAGAAAGCTGTAGACTTTTGGACAAAAGTCCACAGGGAAATACAAAAAATATTGAAATGCTCTTTCAAAAAAGCACCAGAAATTCTGCTTTTGGGACTGAAAATGGAAGAAGTCAATACGACTAAAAAGACTTTACTCTGGTATTTAATAACAACAGCGAGAATGATATATGCACAATTTTGGAAAACAGAGAAAATACCAGAGATAGAAGACTGGATACAAAAAGTTCTGTTCATGGCTGAAATGGATAAAATTACAAAAAAACTGAACAACGATGAAGACGACGTTTTTTTTCAAGAATGGAGTGACTTTAAAATATATCTGGAAAAGAACTGGGATGTGAAACAAAACTTAATATGTTTAGATCAATATTAAGTCAAATGAAGTTATCTTGAGATTGTAATGATAAGAAAAATGATATAATTGATGTAAAGTAATGTGAAATGGGGGGGAAGCATTGCGGGAAGCCACGGAAGGGAGGGGAGGAGATGGGAATGGGGTAAACAATGGAAAAATGAAATGGTTTAATTTAAATGTTGTATTCCTATGGAAAAAATAAAAAAAATTGTTTACCCAAAAAAAAAAGATTGATGGATTTATAATATGGATGTTTAACTAGGTCAACTCGATTTGAGAATATGCCCTGAAACAGATTTCTTTTGAAACAGAGGATATCCGGACCTTTGTTGATGAACTTGGATGATTTGCAGATACCTTTGGCCTTTGTGAAATGATTTTAAGGAATGGTCCTCATGCTTCAATAGTCACTTTTGAAAACGGTGAAAGACAACCACTACTGCATTCAACACATTCTCTTTATATTCATAACAAAGAGGACCTTCATTCGAGTTGGACCTCATTTGTAAAATGGACTAAATTGTATACAGAATGACCTTGAATGAATTTGCCTTATTTTGGATTTCATCGTGAGACTTGTACATATTTTCTATGAAACTATTATAGTGAATATGGTTTCCTTCATGGTTTGATTGGTGTTGTTTCTCTGGTTCATTTTTTGTCTTCGTACCAAAGACAATGAATAAAGGCTGGACTATTTTCACATAGTTGTACTGTTCACTACAGTGACATCTACTGGCAAATTACAAGTATTGCAAGCATTATAGTACAATGATTTTTTTTTTAAATAGACATCTGTTCTAACCTAAGCAAGCAACCACAGAAAGATCATCACATGTCTTGACTGTGTAAACTCTCAGACTCTTGGAGAACAACTCCATAAATTTGGGACAAGAGTACCTTTCAGACCCTTCTTTTCATAATTGGGCTATGAGGTTTCACTATAGGGACTCTGGAGAATCTTGTGTACATACTCAAGTGTTCAAAGTGCTGTTGAAGAACTAAATGATCATTGTTAATTAAACATGACATAGTGACCAACATCCATTACGTGTGTTTAAAAATAATCTAGAATCACAGGAGATGTCAGTTTTGCAGGCATCAGACCTACCTGTCAACAAAGGCATGGTGCAATATAAAGATTGGATCATTTGCCGATCCTTGTACTTCGGACATGGTGCCATTCATGTAGATGTGCAAGGCGTTATGCAAAGTACTTTGGGATGTATTCGAAATTGCAGTAGTTGGACTCGCAAAGCCTGTTGGCAAAAAAGAAATTCTGCGGTAAAAGGCAATAACTACACAAGAATATTGATTTACGTACAGCTGCATTTAAAGAATGGTGGAAAAGTCAACTGAGTATGGGGACCAGTAAAAAATCCCATTCCACAAATTCTTCCTCAGGTCTTACAGCAACAGACGTCTAAAATCTAATAGTGGGAATCTATTCTTTGTACCAATTAAATAATAATGCTGAGCACCGAGAATGTCAACGCCAAATCACAGAATTTACATCATTTCACTTAAGAAATACTGTTACTTTAAGCTTGTGTTTGAATTATTTCCCTTTTGTATATTCTGTTTGAATGATGAGTTTTGCAAGGGTGGTACTGTATTATTAGAATCTATGGATTGTTGAGGGTGTATTATTGCATGTAAACAACAAACCATCTTAAGTCTTGAAGTTTCAATACTCTTTATTGTAATAGTATCTCATTAACATAGTATACATATAGTCTTATACATGGTGTTTCTGTTACTTAATCATCCACACTGTGGTCCTTGGATATCCTTATCCACCTGGAGATTGGCAACTCTGTCCATCACTCATTATGCAAAAAATAAATAAATAAATACCCTTCCTGAAACTGAACTTCACATCTTTTTACCCACTCTCATTTCTTAGCTTCTCCCCACGCTGCTCTCAATTGGCCACCCCTACTGCCTACCAGGCTTCTGCCATAACACCTTCATCTAGTTAGGGATGCTTTCCGTGTCTGATTGTGAAAACCCTTCTCTGCTCTTTTGTTTTTGTTTTTGCATCTTTTTGGTCCTTTTCGGGGCAACCGTACACTTACCTCTTCTCTAGAGCATGGTTTCTCTGGTCTAGCCATGTGGGTGGAGCACAACTGGGGTTAAGAATACCTTTAATAATGTATTTGGTTAAAGGAATACAACTGAACACTAGGAGTGTGCAAAAGTGACTTGCTTTATTGGGTTGTTATAAGTAAATTAATGGCATTGTTGCCATTTGAATAATTCAGTCTTGACCTGTCTTGCTGTCATTTTGTTCCCCATTTGCTCTCCTGTATCTTGGTTACGTCAATAAAGTTACTTCCTGGTTATCAGCTTGGCAGGCGGAAGGTCCTCTCTCTGGAGTCTCCACTTAAAAGGATCAGGCAGAAGTTGGTGTGAAGGCCCTCAATCTGGAGAGCTGCTAGTAGAGTAGACAATGTTCACCTTGGTAGACCAACGGTCTAAGGCAGTATCATAGAACGGGAAGTGGCCACATCTCTTTGCATGCAGAAGGTCCCAGGTTCACTCCAATGAAAGGGATCGGGTAGGAGAACTCAGACCAAGCGTGATCCCCTGGAGAAGGAAATGGCAACCCACTCCAGTATTTTTGCCAAGAAAACCCCATGGACAGTATCAAAAGGCTAAAAGATATGACGCCGGAAGATGAGCCCCTCAGGTCGGAAGGTGTCCAATATGCTACTGGGGAAGAGCAGAGGGCAAGTACAAGTAACCCCAGAAAGAGTGAAGCGGCTGGGCCAAAGCCGAAAGGACGCTCAGTTGTGGATGTGTCTGATGGTGAAAGGAAAGCTCGATGCTGCAAAGAACAATACTGCATAGGAACCTGGAATGTAAGATCTATGAATCAAGGTAAGCTTGGCGTGGTCAAAAACGAGATGGCAAGACTGAACATCGATATCTTAGGAATCAGTGAACTTAAGTGGACAGGAATGGGCGAATTTAACTCAGAAGACCATTATATCTACTACTGTGGCCAGGAATCTCGTAGACACACTAACCACGATACTGTATTTGTGCAAAGTGAATGAAAGCACAAATAAAAGCAGCATTAAACAGTAAAACAACACCAGCAGTGAAATGCCCAATTGTAGAAAGGACAGGACAGGACAGGACAGGACAGGACAGGACAGGACAGGATAGGACAGGAGGGAAGGAAGGAAGGAAGGAAGAGCTGCAGCATTAAAATTAGTTAAAATGTCAATGGAATCCTTGGAACATGTTACAAGAGCTTTTTGGAAAGCAGGCTTACCATCTGAGATGGGGCTGCCAGTTTCCACGTGGGGCCTGGGGATTTTACGAGAGCCAGTTTGATGTAGTGGTTAAGTGCACAGACTCTAATCTGGGAGAACCAGGTTTGATTTCCCACTCCTCCAATTGCAGCTGCTGGATGACCTTGGGCAAGCCATAGTCCTGTCAGAGCTGTTCTCTTCTACCACTGATCTGCAGACTACAGAGATCAGTTCCTGCTTTGGAGGGTGTAATCTACGACGTTATACCCACTGCGGTCCCTTCCCTCCCCAAACTCTGTTTCCCCCAAGTTCCACCCCCCAAATCTCCAGGAATTTCCCAACCTAGAGTTGGCAGCCTTAAGCTGGGGGAGAAAAAAGAAAATCACCCACCCCGTCAGCCAAAGATGTGGTAAAAGAAACATCTTGACCTGGTGCTGAGACCTTAACAGACCTGGCACCAGGCAAACAGCTGTGATGACAGAGTTCCATAGCTGGTAGGGACCTGGCATGGACCTGACGTCTGCTGTAATTGACAATTTAATATTCTTTTGTGGGAGAGCAGATATAGATGCTTCCTGCCTTGGCAGTGAATGAGACTTGATTTCCCGTGAGTTCCTTTGGTATATTAAGATCCACCACCGTGAACTGCTGTACCAGCAGAAAGCAGCATGTTAACCATACTAAGCATCACCAGAATAATAGCACAGCACAAAGCCAGTGTGGTGTAGAGGTTGCGGTACTTGGCTAGGTTATGAGAGACCCAGGTTCAAATCCACACTCTGCCATGAAAAAAAGAAGCTCAGGGCAATGGACTTTGGTTTCCCCACCAGACAGCTGTCATCATCTGCTGTTGAGCGTGGGAATTTATATATAGCAGCACCCACAAAGCTTTTAAAAAGTGAAAAAATTGTGCTGTGTTCTTTCGGTAACTCCATGGCTCAGTGGTAGAACATCTCCTTGGCATGCAGAAGACCCCAGGTTCAATCCCTGGCATCTCCAGTTGAAAGGATCAAGTAGTAGGTGACGTGAAATACCTTTGTGAGAGCCAGTTTGGTGTAGTAGTTAGGAGCACGGACGCTAATCTAGAAGAACCAGGTTTCATTTGCTTGTCACAGTCACACCTCTGTCCCACAGGATGGCTTCCCAGGGCAGCTTGGTGTAGTGGTTTGGTGTAGTGGTTAAGTGGACGGACTCTAATCTGGGAGAATCGGGTTTGATTCCCCACTCCTCCACCTGCACCTTCTGATGTGACCTTGGGTCACTCACAGGCTCTGGCACAGCTGTCCTTGAAAAAGAGCAGTTTCTGTCAGAGCTCTCTCAGCCCCACCCACCTCACAGGGTGCCTGTTGTGGGGAGGGGAAGGGAAAGGAGTTTGTAAGCCACTCTGAGACTCCAAGTGAAGGGCGGGGTATAAATCCAATCTCTTCTTCTTCTTCTTCTTCGGACACCAGTTTGGTGCAGTGGTTAGGAGCACGGACCCTAATCTGGGAGAACCGGGTTTGATTCCCCACTCTTTCATATGCAGCTGCTGGAGTGACCTTGGGCCGGTCACAGGTTCTCTCCAAGCTGTTCTCTCACAAGCAGTTCTCTCAGAGCTCTCTTGGCCCCACCTATCTCACAGGGTGTCTGTTGTGGGGAGGGGAAGGGAAAGGAGACTATAAGCCACTCTGAGACTCCTTCGGGTACTGAAGGGGTGGGGTAGAAATCCAATCTCTTCTTCTTCCTCTTCTTTTACCTGAGATCCTGGAGAGCCACTGACAGACACAGTAGACAGTACTGATCACGATCAACCCAAGGTCTGACTCCATATAAGGCAGCTTCATATGTCAACGTGAGTTATCCCGTATCTTCTTTGATCTCTCACTACTGCCATCTGCTAGAGAGCCAGCATGGTGTCGTGGATGAGAGCAACAGACTTTAATCTGGAGAACTGCGTTCAGTTCCACACTCCCCCACATGCAGCCAGTTGGGTGACCTTGGGTCAGTCACAGCTCTTTCAGAGCTCTCTCAGCTCAGACCCCCCCCCCAACACCTAAAGGCCTACCTAAGGGACCGCCTTTCCCCGCACGGTCAGGGAGCCAAAATCTCCTGGATATCCCAGGCCCCAAGACCATCAAATTTGCTACGACCAGGGCTGGGTTTTCTCAGTGGCAGCTCCTATCTGGTGGAATAAGCTCTCAGAGGAGATCCAGGCCCTGCGGGACCTTGTACAGTTCCGCAGGGCCTGTAAAACGGAGCTCTTCCGCCCGGCTTTCGAGTAGGAGCCGCCGCCACCACTATTCCATCACCGCCTTCCCACCACCGCACACCACCACCGCTGGTGCGGGTATCATCCGAGGCAGCGGGACGTCCCTAGCGGACGACAGGGTTGTGGGGACATACGTTGCTGTGGTTGTTCAGATATAACATCTTAGAACACCATCTTGGTTTCACGATTCGGAGTGAGTATTGGAGCACCGATAATTTATTTTAAGAATTTTATTTAACTGTAGTATATGTATTATTGTATTTTATACTGTTTTTATTGTTATAATCTGGCATTTATGCCTCTGTTAGCCGCCCTGAGCCTTCAGGGAGGGCAGGATACAAATCCAAAGAAATAAAATAAATAATAAATAACACTCTGGAGTTGGCTCTACAGAATGTCCAAAGTGACCCCCCTGGACACATGTTCTGCAGGACACTCCCACCGCCTCCCTTTCCTGTGATTAATTTCTCAGCAAAAATTGTCGGACACAAATTTACACTACTGGATCGCGTGCCTGCCCGAGATTACATCCCGAAGTCAAGAACTCCGCCAATCATACGGTTCCTCTTCAGCGATCTTCGGTTGCCGTAGAGGCAACAGCGCGAGACACATTTGCAAGGTTTCAAAAAGACTATGCTTGTATTAATTGGTTGGGGTTACTCAAGGGGGGAACGGCCAATGCTCCCTACATCATCCTTCGTCAGCGTATTTCTACTCCCTGTTCAAACATCCGTGACCCTCTGTCCCC